GGGAGAGAGGCCCCCACAGGCTGAGCTTTGGTCCAGTTACTGAAGAGGGTTTGGAAATGCAGGGCTGCAAACACAGGTGAGGCTCTGTGGGATCTAATGTGGGTGACTTTGTCCCAGTGGAGCCAGAACAGGCTGTGCTTGCGAAACAGGCATCCACTCCATGGGGTGCCCAAGTCGCTGAAGACAGGCTCTGTGCTAAACCTCCACCAGGCATCGATCATCCTCTTTCCCCTTGCAAATAATGGACTGTCTGTGTCTTTCAGATCACAGAACTCCTCCAGCTAATGAGTCAATTTAAAGAAATGGGCTTTGAACTAAAAGACATTAAGGAGGTCTTATTATTACATAACAACGACCAACACAACGCTTTGGAAGATCTAATGGCTCGCGCAGGAGCCAGCTGAAAACACATTCCTGGATTCTTGGCGTGCAGCGGAGCAGGGCCAGCCCTGCCACCTCCACATCCAGTGTGACTTGCTCTCTGCAGGAGGGAGCCCGGCTTTTCACATGCAGGGGAGAGTGACTGAGCAAGCCCGCCCGCGTGCATCACTCTAGCATTTCTCTTTCCACTGAAAGCCAATTTTCTTTCTTAAATTAAATTTTTAAAGTGTCCTTTCCTAAGTTTCCTTTTTCCAGCTTGGCCACGGAGAGTTTAGACTGCCCAGCCTCTACTGGAATTGTGCGTAGGTAGAGACAGGAGTGGTTTCCTCCCCTCACTGTTGCACTGGAGTTGGACAGAACAGCTACTAAGTTGGTTCTGAAACTAGGATGCTTTGGTTCTTTGAAGCTGCTTTCATGGTGTCTTGTCTGCTTGTACTGAATTACTTGACTGTGTCACAGTCCAGATTAACTGAGTAAATTTGACCTCTAGTGCAATGGAGTTTTATTTTTTGGGTCAAAAGTTAGTATGTAACTTAGTAAAACACTGGTTCAGAAGCTGTCGCTATGCATAAAGAGAGAAGCAGTTCCTCTTGTGGGTTTTCTTTGGTTTGGTTTGGTTTGATTTTTACCCATGCATCCAACACTTCTGCCAATACTGAGTGGTGTGAAAGTTCTCTTGCAACAGGTAAGCTGTGAACTCTGGATCTGCAGCTTGTGTTGGTTCTTGAACCTGAAGGCAGAGAGCTGGGGCTCAGTATTCTTAACCCCCCAGGCTTGTAGGCTATTTAAGACAATGCCCTGCTAGGATATCAGTTATCTCTTCATTTTACATATTACTCAGTGTGATGCAGGAAGTTTCTTTCAAGCACTTTCTTTAAAACAAATATACTCACTTAGTTCCATTTCTCACACTGCTATAGAGTTACATTATAACATCTAGTACTAGAAACCAAGTTTTGGGTTGTTTTTGATAGCTCAAACTATTAAGTTGTACATTGTTCAAGTTCTGCATACATCAAGTATCAGCAGTCTTGAGGAATCTTTAAAGTAATTTGCTAAATATTTTGACTCTGCAGAAGAACAACTAATAAAGCCCTCAAATATGACTCCCAGTGTCATGGTTCCCATCTCTCATGCAATTTGACTTCAGCAGATGAAGAACTTGCTGGATCCTGCCTGCTCCTGTAGGCACACATGAACTGTCCATGTTGGGAAGAGCAAGAAGGTCTCTGGACAAGCAGCTGCAGTGATGGAATGTGCTGCTTTTTCCTGTGGCTTATTTCTGTGTTGTTTCAAAAACCAGATCTCGGGATCCAAACTCATGTTACAGCATGGAGCTGGGAGCATTGGACTTCAGGAGGGGAAGACTGCTTGGCTCATTGCCTGAGTAGGTGTTTCAGTAGGAGGTTTTGGCTCGTCAGGACTCTGAAGGAGACATTATGTTGTTAAACTTTATATGACCAAAACATCTAATCCAAGTCCAGTGTTAACTCCTGGAATTCTCTGTGGGGTGCTCAACTATGTTAATTACATTACTTAAAATGATGGTGAGGAGACATGTAGCTGGCCAGTATGTAGGAGATGTCGAGATGGATCATGAGTACGACCGAGGCACATTGCCTTGCATCATATCCTGTCGTGTTCAGCCTCACCAGTTCATAGTGGTGGGGCTGAAATTAAAACTTGTCTGAGAAGGACATTCTGCAGCTGAAGGCTGGAAGCATGTTTCTGGGCAACCTGTCACAGAAGGGAAGACCACGGAGTATGGGGATTAACATGGTGATTTAGGGGAGAGGCACTTCTGAAGAACCGTGTAACAAGTGATACAATGTGATGAGACTTCAGTGTTGTTCTGGGTGCTGGGGATCAATAGTTACTCCAGGACTGTAGCTTCTCATGTCAGATTGATCTATGTACCTGATTTACGTACCTGGCACTGTTCTGACTTTGTCAGAGGCCGCTCTGCTGCCTTGTGCTAGCTGCTGCCATGTACCAAGGCCTGGATACCTTGGTGGAAAGGCTTTTCCATAGGTATGGATGCGGAGCCGAAATTGGTGGTTGTCCTTTGAGCCAGCGACTCCCGAAGCTGCCTCCTGACAGTTCTGGAGAGCAGCAGCTTGGCAGGGACTCTGAGCTGAGGGCTTCCACTCCGCCCATGGGGATAAAAAGTGCTCCTGTGCTCATTGCCTTGTTTTGAGGGTGACACTGTGGGAGCCCTGAGGCTTTCTTCAGTGGGCCTCATGGCTCTTGCAGTGGCTTGGCTCTGCTGGAGCACGCCAGGGCCTGCGTCAGCAGCTCTGCTGCACGGTGTGTGGCAGGGCAACTTTCCATGCTGGGCAGGACAGTGCGTTCTGCTGGTGGTGCAGCAAAACCTGTTGCAAGGGTTGTTCAGGTTGGCCTCAGGTGCCTGAAGGACAGCTTGCGAAACACCAGCCGTGTCAACAGGCCAGGTGTGAAGGGGATCTCTACCCATTCCCAGCCCCAGTTAATCTTTATGTAATCAATCAAACTGGCATTTTGATCACATTTACTATAAAACAAATTCTGCCAGAGTTCTGTAGCAAATTGAATTTTATTTTAAATAATGTCAATTATTCAAATAAAATATCAAGCATCTGCCATGAGCTTTAATTGTCTTTATTGCACCTGAAAACGGAATTGAAACCACTTTAGTTCTGTGTTTGTTTGTATGTGGCCAGGCTCTTTTAATCCCCTAGGCTGGTGTAATGACAATTTCAGCTATGTTCCTCAGGTTGAAACAAAAGCCATTCGTATCAGGTGCCAGACCAATATCAAAGAAGAGGAAGGGATGACGCTTCAGAAATGCTCATTTAGCACATGTTCACACAGGAGTTAAAGCAGCATCTGGGTAATAACCTCAAGACTGGAGAGAAAAACATCACCCTTTTTGGTAATAGCTGTAGTAGTTTCCATTGCATACTGGGAACCCAGTTTCAGTATTGCCTGGGTATGCAGGCAATGTCTGCAGTCCCGTCATTGTCAAGGATGGTGCATTTTCACAGCGGAGGCTGTTTTATTATTTTCATGTTTTAGTTAAATCACCTCACATGCAGTAGAGAAAATAAAGAACAGTGATAATAGAATCTTAACAAGATACAAACTACAGGTTTAAAAAACGTTGTCAGGACTTGAAACACTGCTTTGTTCTTTTGTCTCTTGGTATTCCTGGCCATTCCTCCAGGAATGGCTCCTGCTCTGGGAGCTTGCACTGGGGCTCAACTCTGCCAAAGGGACTTGCCTGTCTCCCAGGAGGCTGGGTAGGAATCAGGTGGCTTGTATTTGGTAGTGACTTAACTCACACCTCCTCTGCTCATGGAAATTTTTGGTCACTCATGTGTCTTGCTACAAGTACTTCTCAATATGCAGCAGCCGGGGCATGGCACTGTGGGGTGTGTGAATAGGTCATTAGAAAGGGCCAGCTTGGATGAGAGGCTGAATGTACTTTGCTGAGTGGCTCTTTAAAAAACTGAAAGTACAATCAACCAATATTCATCTCCCAAATGTCAGAGTATGCAGAAGGAAAGTTTTCCTCCCTAGCACTGCGTTACTGGCTGGGCATCTCCTTTCTCTGTGACCTGTGCATATGTCCTACAGTCTGTTTTTTCAGCTCCAAATGAAGGTGCAGAGCTCTCATTAGCCCTATTTTCTGTGTGCTTGCTGAGAAGGTGCTGGGGAAACCACTGTAAGTGCTCCCATCCATTTATTCTTTCATGGGAACAAGGACTACCCAGCTGTCACATGTTCTCACCTTACTCACAGGAAAGCTCTCCCTGACATTAGGAGCTGGAGGGAGGCTTCTTAAAGGTTGGCTATTTTAAAGGGAAGCTTATTTTAATGCCTGCTCTTTCCCCCATGGTTTTAACAAGACAGTGGGTGTCCTGCTCCTTTATAGCTTTCTGGTGGCTGTCAAGCACAAACACAGAAGTACCAATGACACCAGCACTTTCTCCTGGAGGCCTGATTTCTCTGGGTGTAACAGGCACTGGAGACCAGGGTTTGGGTGTGAGTGAACTGCTGCTGCCTGAACACAGGAACCATCTTGAGATCCATAAAGTCAGACCCAAGAGGATGTCTGCTTCGCAGAGTAATCAGTCCCAGTTGTAAGTTGGAGACCAACCTGTGCTAGAAGAGCCCCAGCCAACAGTCAGGGTACTAACGTAGGACTTTAGTCTTCTGTTAAAAGTCCTCTCCTTGCACTGTTGTGCCCCAGGGCTGAGTGACATTCCTGGGAGCGTGTGCAAGAAATATACAACCCAGATAACTGTCACTGTGGTGGCTCTGTTGCTGCTTGGCCAAACGTGGGCTCCTTGGGGTAGCTGTACAAGCAGGCAGTGACATTCACAGCTGGTCAGACAACAGTGTTCCCTTACCCTCGGCATTTCCAGCTACTGAGCCAGCTTCGAGCTACAGCCCGCATCACTGAGGAGACAGAGATGGCTGAATGTGCTGTGACAGCCCTAATTTTGGAGTGGGAGTGCTTGCACAGCACATTTGTCAGGGGGGCACGATTCAAGGTCACTTCTGGCTTCAGCAGGTGGACTTGTTCTGTTGTTCTGATGTGACTGCACAGAGCACCAGAGCTTTTGCTGGGCTCCATAGTTCCTGATTCAAATACCAGCTTCACATAACAGCAGTGTTGGCAGCTTCTGAAAGCTCAGTGCCTCTCACCAGACCCCAGCCAGTGAGCATTCTACAGCTGTGCCATAGTTTGCAGTGGGTACACTGTTGGCAGCAGTATGAACCCACATGCTTACTAACATGCTAGATGAACCTTTGATAAGAAGTCCCTACTAAATCACTTGCTACCCCTGACTTCAGCCAGCCGGAGTTCAGGAGCTCTGGAGTGTTTGTCCCCAGCAAAAAACAACTGCAACAACAGCCTTTTGTCTTCTCAAAGTGACAGCACTTCTCCTGCCTTGATTTCCATTTACTTATGGTCTAATTACATTTGTGTACTCAATAAACAGTGGCTCCTCTTTCCTGGCTTATGTTTGCAAAACACTTCTGGATAACATTTGAGCATTTCTCTTCAGACCTGTGGCCTCATTTTCTTGGAAACACAGAAGTGCCTTTAGCATGTGCAAAGCTGCTGTGAATACTGTGGACAGGGCTGCCTGCTGCTTGGTGAGATAGTTAAGAGGCTGATGCATTGTTGCTTGTAAGAAAATGGCTTACTGGTATTAAGGAAATACAAAAACTTGTGGTGCCAAGTACTCATCTCTCATTTACTCAGCATTCTCTCCATCCTTATGTAAAATACACACTAATCAATAAACATCAAACCAAAAGCTATCCCCTACCCACTCAAAAATCTGCAGCACAAGTGTGGCCAAACACTAGCTAGCTGCTTCTGTAGCTGTTCTTGTGCACATGCAAGCAAAGACAGTTTAAACTGGTGGAGGTGTTTGCAGGGAGGTGTTAGTGCCAGGAGAGGCTAAACAGAGCTGAAGCTGGTCTCGCATTGTTTGTATACACTTTGACTTCAGTATCAAGATTTCATCCAGCTTGGTCATGAAGTTCTGAAAATCCTGATGAGGAAGGCAAAAAGAAAGTTTAGGTAGCAGAATGTTGGTGAAAAAGCAGCATATTTTATGCACTGCAGCAGTACCTAAAAGCATGTTTTCCATTTTGCAGTGTAGTAGATTAAATTGGCATTTCCTTATTGAATTCTTGACCCTCACAGACCCAGACCAATGCCTCTAAATAGTGAGTTTTACTTACACTTGTAATTTTATCTATCTGTTGGGGAACTTACAGCTAATATGCTTTAAAACCAAAAATGCATAAACCACCTTCTACACCAGTTAGCTTTACAAAGGTTAGGACTGGTCTGATGGGGAGTTTTACATCGTGCTCTGTTCCTGACACCTCTCATGTGGGATCTAGCAGTCATGAAAATAAATGGTGAATTGGGACACTCACTGATCAGACATAATAGCCCAAGAATAGACCATTCTTGGGAGATGGAAGTGATTATTTCACATAAGGTCACAGGTCCAACTCCTGCGTGGCTACAGATCTGCTAGATCTGACATGAGAAGTAGCAGCAGTGTCTATAGCCTCAGCTGAGGGGAGCTCTACCTTCCACAGCAACCTCCTATATGAAGACAGGCTGAGAAAGTTGGGGCTGTTCAGCCTGGAGAAGAGAAGGCTGCGTGGAGACCTCATAGCAGCCTTCCAGTATCTGAAGGGCGCATATAGGGATGCTGGGGATGGACTCTTCATTAGGGACTGTAGTGATAGGACAAGGGGTAATGGGTTCAAACAGGGGAAATTTAGATTGGATATAAGGAGGAAATTCTTTCCTGTTAGGGTGGTGAGGCACTGGAATAGGTTGTCCAGGGAGGTTGTGAATGCTCCATCCCTGGCAGTGTTCAAGGCCAGGTTGGACAGAGCCTTGGGTAATATGGTTTAGAGCGAGGTGTCCCTGCCCATGGCAGGGGGGTTGGAACTTGATGATCTTAAGGTCCTTTCCAACCCTAACTATTGTATGATTCTATAATAAGGGTACATTTAGACCTGTTCTGCTCTCCAGCTAAGAGCAGTGTTTGGTGCCTCTGTTCAGAGATTGGTGTCTAAGGAGCTGGGAGATGTCAGCATCCTCAGAGCCAGGGATTTGAACTGCTACCATTTGGAAATCGGCCATTGAAAAGCTTATTTGGCAGGACTCCATGGACTCCAGTTATCTCCTGCACTCAATCTTTGTCTAGCAGGGACATCAGGACTGTAATGTCCAGCCCAGCTGCCCTGCTTTTCTTAAGCACTTTAAATCCTGCTTAGTTGAGTATTTGGATGGTCTTGGCAGGAGTCTCTCCTGCAGCCAAATCCTCATGGCTGGAGAAACCAGAACCATCTGAAAGTGGAAGGCGAGAAACTGATAACGGGAAGTCCAAGGTGATTTCACTGCCCAAGGAAAGGTCTTGATGTGAAACAACACTACAGGATACGAGGTATTCACACACTGCTGTGAGGCCTGGCAAGGTTGTCATTATTCTGCTAAGTAGAAAGTGATTGCTTGCTGCAAGGGGCAAATAAATGGAGGTCAGAGGGGGAAAGCTGGTTGGTGTCCAGTGACCAACAGACTTAGGAAGAGCTATCTTAATTTTGACTTAAAAAATTAAAAAGAAATAAAAAGATACAAGCTTCCTTTATACCACTGCATTGTCTGCCACAAAACTGATGCAGTTTTTGCCTCTTGTGCTGCTTTGTGAACTTTTGGGTGTTATCTGGTGACACATCACATGCAGCTGGAAATCACACAAATAAGCCACATGGTGGCTCCATTCTGAAATACATCTGAAGTGCAGCTGCATTTCAGATGTGAGCTGTGATAGGAAGTGAAATGGTATGATAATGTAATGCAGTAATGGAGCTTAGCTTTATTGATGAGGGAAGTGGTAAGGCAGGAGGTTCTTACTGGGAAATGTTAATAGTCTGGGTGAATGGGGGTTCTCACAGAGCTGTGACATGTGCCTATGGGATGCAGGAGAAGCAGAGAACTGGGATTGCCTGTCCAGCAGTGGGGCTATGCAGGTGTAGCTTGCACTACTGTTACCTGAGACAAGGATAAGCCAACACGTGAGTGACAAAAGTGAAGAGCCTGTGTGAGTGGGGCCATCTGCAGCATGGTAGGCAAATGAGGGACTCTCAGAAGGAAGAGGCAATGTGGCAGTACACCACCAAATGTGACATCCCAGCATCATGCTTTAGGGGTGTGTTTTCGCTAGTATTGACTTACTTGCTCCAGCCTGTAAGAGAAAAACATCACAGGGGAGGGCGCCCTGTTTGGTACAGTCTGGTACCCATGATGCAAGATAAGAGAAAGCTCTCTGATGAGGCACAAGTGGTTCAGAGTTGGCCCATCAGTCTCCTTCTCTCCCAAGGACCTGGCAGTGTGGAGACTGGCAAAGACACAACAGGCACTGAAAATGAGCCGCCACAGGGAGGCATCAGAGAGTGAGAGGAACAACTGATGAGGAATGCCACATCGCTAATAAAAGTTAATAATCTTTTAAGATTAATTTATGCAAGTTCAACAGGCACTGAAATCATCATCTGAAACACTTACCATTGCTGACATCTGATTTATTAAGCACTCTTCCTTGAAGCACAAGGATGCCATTTCATCCAGCTGCTGCTGATGGGCCCAAATTACAGCCTGTCTGATTAACATAAAATACACCACTAGTTACACAGCCTGCTGTGCTCCCTATAATTACTCAATAAACCTTTAAGAAGGGTAACTATCCTAGGGGAAACCTCGCTCTCCTCTGTTCCTGGCACTCAAAGTGCACACCAGTGTTCCCTGAATTGCAGTGGACTACACTGGTTTGAGGTTAAAGATGACCTTGATGTCTCAGGATTGCTCACAGAGGAGTGACTACAGTCCCTGTTAGCACAAGCAGCACAGGAGCACATACCGATTTTTACCATAGGGAAATCCAGGAGCAAAAAAATTGTCTAATTAATCACTGATATTGCTTACAGCCATGAGGCTGATGTTATTTTGGTGAAAAACAGGCAGAGCAGGAAGGCAGTGCTGCTGTCCACTCCTCTGGGCAAGCTTCTTTACCAGCCACCTATTTCCAGTCGTGTGAATGCAGTGCAGCCCTTTGGAGCTGACAGTGGCAGCTCCCAGCACTTTGAAGCTTTACATCCACATCTTCAGTAACTGCCCAGCTGCTCTGGCTGTTTTGCTTTCGGTAGGGATGGATGGAACAGCTGTCACCTGATTCTTGATGGGAAGTTTTGATATATTTTAGTACTTGAGAGCTTATAGGAAGCCAATTAGTTACAGAGAACTGCAGTTCTCGGTAAGTAATTCTTCATTATCCTAGGAAGCTCTAAGAGAATAATTGGCTTCCTGTGAGATTTTAAAGTATCACTATAAATTATCATTGACCTTATTAAATAATTAGTTCATAGATTGATTTCCCATCAGTTTTTAAAGTACACATGAGCATGATACACAAATAACAGCAAATATATCACATGCCTAGAACTTCTAAGCTTCGTGACAAGCTTCAGTGATGAGCAAGACTTACTGTGCTTTTTCTAGGGCTTCCCTCTGCCATTTTCCCATCTCTGATGCAGCACTGGCAGAGCTGCTGCTGGACACGCCTGAGGGGCTCTTTGCATTTGCTAATGGCTGCTTATCTTTAGTTGCAAATGCTGAATCTGCCACAGAAGTCTCTTGTGTAAAAAGATTCTGCATTAACTTGTTCTTTAGCAACCCTCTCTCCTCATTGCTGAACGACGACTTGGCTGAGTCTTCAGAATGACTGAAGTCCTCACTCTTCAGTCCTGACTTGGGCTGCAGTAGCAGGCTGCTTTCCTGAGAGGGGGACTGGACTGTGTAATCCATATGTCCCACACTGAGAAAGCATGGTGCACCTGAAAAATAGCTCTTTTGGGGTATATCAGCATTTATTTCCTGAGCCATGGGCTCAACACTGGGTCCTTGATTTGAGCTGGATCTTCCTGAATTACCAGTATTAACTTTAACATCTGCACCACACTGTCTGCCACACAAGTATTCGTTGCACGTTGAGTTACTGGGAAACAAACCACACTCTCTGTGTCCCCTGGAGCCCATGGATTCAGCTGTGGATGTTTCTATCAGGTCACATCCAGCAGATAAGCTGTGAGCGACCCCTTGCTTTGGTGAAGCTGAGCCCAGGAGGCAGTGGCAAGGCTTCACATCACAGCACAGGGGTGAGAGCCTCTTGTCCCCTGTCTGTGGGGGATGCAGCAGGGTGCAGTGTCTTCCACCACGACGCGTTTGCTCCCCCAGTTCCAGCATGCTGTCTGTCAGAGCTCTGCTTCTCGTGCACTGCCAGCTCTCTTCTGCAAACCTGCTCTGGGAGCCGTGTGTGCTCTTCACGCAAGGGGACGTCTCTTGGTTAGAGGACACTTTCTCTGAACCAGTTGTTTCCTCATAGTCAAGAAGGGACATGAGAGGGGCCATCAGCTCAGAGGAGAATTCTGAGGAACAACTGGAAGATCCGCAATGGTTAACACCATTTTTTCGAGCTTTCCATTTTACATCTCCTGCAATTACAGCATGTCTATCCAAAGGGGATTCTTCATTCTCTTCGTGCTGGAGGTCAACCTCTTTGCTCTCTGGAGTTCCCATTTTCAATACAGGAGAAACATACGAGTTTGAAGCTTCCTTTTCTGCAGTCAACGGTTCTTCACTGGAGTAAACAAGACATCTGTGTTTGGATTTGCACTGGTTGTGATCAGCTAGGAAATCTTTGCCATTTTTCCAGTTACAAGCAGGATCATCCTGCAGGCAGTAAGGTTTTTCAGCAGCATTGCTTGAAGAGGGCTCAATAGTGAAGTCGTAGTTCCAGTCTGATGGAGTTTTGCTGCAACCTGCACTTTTAATGGATTCCTCCGTCTTTGGGCTGCCCTCACAACAATCCCAGCTGCCATCTAGCTCATGTTCTGGCATGGATACTGCATATTTGAAAAATAAATCCTGTCTCTTTTGGCCTTTTTGCTCTTCTTCAGTTTCTTGTTCTCTCTGATGGAGGAAAAATGAATGTTGACTGCACTTGTTGGTGTTTTTTCTTTTCACGCTCTTTTGACTACAGATAGGTGAGAAAGAATCTTCACTGAAATCACTGTCATCCAAGTCTTCCAGCTGCATTCCCTCTTTGCTCTGTACTTCTGTGGGAGGAAGGCTCAGCTCCTGCTTCACTTGAATCTCCTGGGGCTTGTACTGCGTTAAAAACCTCTCAAGAGGTTGATAATTCAGTTTTTGCTGTAGAATAGGTGGCTGCTGAAACTGCTGGTGATAAAGACGTAAATGCTCTTCCCTTTCCTTCTGAAATGGAGGCAGATTTGTCCAGGTTTCAACACACTGTTTAGCAAAGGTGTTTCCCCATTCCTGTCTCCCATCGGACAGCAGATTTCCATCTCCAAAGGAAAAATCATCTCTAGGAACAAGCTGTTTCTGAACAGGCTGCACTGTCTGGACTTTCAGGCCCTGGGCAGGTGGTCTGTCTTGCATATACTTGTCTCTCTGGCCACTCTCTTTCATTTCTGGTGTGGCAGCATCCTTTGCAGTGGGGTTCTTTTCAGAGTGGGCAGGCAGATCATCATTTTTCTTCTTCAGGGGATGTGCTATCCGTAGAACTCCCTTAACCGGACTAACGTGGTGGAACCATGGTGAGCTGGGATTTCCCCTGTGGGCATGTCCTTTGTTGATTGCCCTGGGGGTAGAGGTAAAAGGGACACTTGATGGCTGGAGAGCTGCAGGACATGCCTTTGTTTTTGTGGCATTTGAGGGATGCTGGAGGCCTAGCTTCACTTTCTTTGGAGAGCTCTTTTCCCCAGGTGGCAAAGAGGGATTGTTTTGGACACGTTTTGGAGATACATTTCCAGCTGTCCGACGCTTGTTTGTGATGGGGGTAGAACATTTAATCCCTTTCTTCAGCTCCTTGACCCTGTGAATGAAGTTGGCTTTAGAAGATGTCATGCTTTCAGATAAATGTCATCAGAACAAACTAATGCTTTCATATACTAAGACTATACATTGTATTCAGTGTCATGATTTTTGTTCTAACTGTGAAGTTATCCACACAGGCATCAAAAGCCTTCCAAAATGCCTGAACCACTGGAAAGAGCTATAGCAGTATTTTGTAGTGCTTCCTTGAACAGTGCATAACAAGTTAAGTGAGTGAGATAGCCTCTGCTGGGCTGCATTTCCACACTTTATAATGCAGCATGGCACAGTAGCAGCTGAAGACAAACCAGTACTCTCCATAGCACATCACACTGTCCCACAAACAGACTAGGGCTGTTGGAGTAGTTGCAGTGGGGGTACTTAGCCCAGGTGTACAGGTCTACAGGACTCCTGGATCAGACTCATCAGTGAAACTGTGAAGAGCTGCTTAACTGCTATCACCCTGTCATCTCAACTCTTCCCCTTGTTTCTCTTCCCCCTTAAGCATCTTTTGTCCTCTTAACCCCAACACTGCTGTAATTTCAAGCATTGTATGTAGGCGGGAGGGTGACTTGCATGTATTCTAGGCAAAAATACAATACAAAACTAAAACATTGGGGGGGGGGGGGAGAGGCTATTAATCCTGCAGTTACAGTGATATTTTCATCACTAAAAGTTGCCATCAAAAAGGATTTGCAAGACCCAAAGAATCTTTACACCAAATATAAGAGTTGGGACAAATACGGATTGTATTTACATTGTGAAAATTGAATTTCTTGCCTAAATCAACACGTCCAATGCAACCAAAATAAAATGTAACCACAAGTTTCATACATTACTTTTTGTGCTTTTCACCTTGGCAAGACTGAGCTTTATCACCTACCTGTCGGCATATCTTAAAGTGTTCAGGGTGTGCTCTGTAGCTATGTGGCTTGGTGACACATTGGCTATCATACACGTCTTGGAATTGCCAATGAAAGAATCTTTTAACACCTAGTGTTGGAGGAAAAAAATAAGATTCTTAGCAATTTATGTACCTTGCTTTTTCCATAAGTTAGCAATGTGTACAGAAGCAGTTGATCATGATTTACCATCTCTTTTTGTTGTTTATTTGTATTTTTAATGTAGTCCTCATCTCAATTTGTCTTGCAATTCTTTGTTTACAATTTACACAAGTGTCAATAGGGGCTCTGAAGAAGCCCTTAAACCAGGTGCCATAAGGGTGCTCTTATGTTTTGAATAAAGCATATATTACAACTGGAGTGAAGAAGTACTGAAAACTCACAGGACTGTTACTGCAGAGAAGATCCAAGATTGGTTGCAGACTGGGTGGAAATGGATGGTAACTCTGAATGAATCTGGAAGGCAGTGTTTGGGGGTTTTGTTTGGTTTCAGGTTTAGGTTTATTTGGTTTTGACCATGACAGTCCCCAGGACTGGCTGGGGGATCTGGCAGTTGGCCTTAATTCTGTGATTACCTTTAAAATTAATGTTTGCAAAAGTTAAGTTTTTCTCTTCAAGAGTTTAACAGCAATTATTGAATTATGCCCTTTGTTAAAATCATTATTTATTGATTATTTTGTCCTCATCAGGGAAACCTCTGCTGATGCCTTTCTGCTTATTTTACCTGAGTTAATTTGCTTTGCCGGAAAGGAGTATGTGCATGTTCCTGATCCAGTGCCCGAATGCATTCCTTTAGCTATCAAAAATAAAAACAGAGGGAAAAAAGCATGTTAGTCACACACTGGCAAGAAACTGAACTGCATCAAACCTAACCTACAAAATGTGCAGTTTCCTTTGTGGTACCTTTAACTCCTACTACGTGCTGTTCCTTGTTGCAAGGTGAGTTTGCTGCTGCCAGACCCACAAATAGCTTCAGCCAGTTCAGTCAGCAGCAGCAGCAGCAGTTTAGCTGCACTCAAAGAGAGCAAAGCTGCAGCACACAGCACAGCTAGCCCTGCCTGCTGGCTCTGTGGGCTACACAAACCCAAGAAACTGGGTAAACACACATTTAGCACACACAGACCTCCACACTACTGTGGACCTGCTGCTGCCTGGACCATAGCTAACGAGTTTGAAGCCAGGTTGGGTGTACCCAAGACTATACTGCAGCTTGCAGGGCAGGTGTACCCCAATAACAGAGCTTCTTCAGCTCCATGTCTTACAAATTTCCTTCTCCTAAAAGCTCTTCGTCTGCCCCAAATACCCCAACACTTTGGACAACAGCATTGCAATTTTCTTATGTCACTATGGCAACATCTTCATACCTTAGAGATAGCACAGCCTAGTAAGTGCACATTTCTCCCCCATTATGAGTATGATATGCAGTCTAGATGTCCCACCTATGCATGGGCACACTGGGCTGTATGAGAAGGCAGTTGATCTCAAGTCAGTTCCTCTTTATACCAGTGCAAGGTGCTAACCCAAAACCTTAGGGATAGCACGGACCAATGAGCTGTGAGGAGGGCTGTGTTCAAGTCCAGGTTCAAGACTACAGTCAGAAGGTAACATAGGTACAGCCTATCTAAAGAAGTATGCCACCGTGGCCTCTGGCAGGCTAAGAACTATATACAAAACACTGAGAATGTAACAACAGACTGCTCAGTGAGTGGAGATACAGCCGCAGAACTTCCATTAAAACTAACACATGAGCAGCTAGCTAGACTCTTGCCTTTCACAGAACTCACTATATCTTCTTATTGTTAATAACTATCAACAGAGGTAGCCTGTAGCTTGAAGGAACATCCCTTGATTTATTACCAGCCTTGGAAGAAGATGTCATGTTCAGATTCAGAGATAGGCACTTTCTTGCCTTATTTCCACTGAGATAAGCACAATAGCATCACACTCCTTATCAAGCCTGGATACCCTAAAATTGGCAGAAATTGACTGTATATCCATGAGACAAGTCATTTATAGCAAATACTGAAGGAAAAATAAGCAGATTACAGTACTGTCATGGCAATTCTGTCATGAAGCAGCCATTGTACATTTAAAGCCTTACTACATTCTACATACACTCACTTAAAATGACACTTCTCACTTTTACTATATTTTATTAAAAATCACACCTATAACAAATAAAGAGATCAAACTATTCTAAATTTTTCATTCCACTTCTCATAATTGCAGTATCTGAGTATCTTCTACTAGAAATCATCATGAATGCTCAAAACAGGAGCAAACTTCAAACTTAGTATGTCTTAAGGCCTGAAGGGAGTGGTACAACTAAGAGCAGAGCTAGATTCTACAGGCTGCAGGTCATGTAGACTTACCCCAAGATGCCTATATAGTTAATTCAGTCACTGATTGTAGGCTGTAAGTATTTACTCGGTCTAACACAATACCAAAAGTACACACTCTGATTTTAAAGTTCCTTTTAAAATAAGAGTTTTGTGATCTTACACAAAGCTTCACTTTTCAGGAATCATTTCTGTTCAGGTTCTGACTCCCCATTCCACGCAGTTATTGACCAGCAAGTACTCAAGAAAGCATAAAGCAGAGAAACACATCCACTTTACAGGCTGTCTCTCAATATAAATACCAGTATTACACAGCAGGAAAGCCTCTGTCCAAAAGAACATTCTACATTCTCAATAAAAGCAAACCACCTCTTACTGCACACTAAAAGGTACAGTTGTTTTCACTGACTGTCTGCACTATTGACTGGTACTAATTGCATACCACTTTCAGTTTCACTCAGAGAAGCCCTCAGTCACCAGTGAGCTTTGTTCATTTGAAGTAAAGGATTGCAAAGGCTTCTGCACAATTCATGCTTACAGGCAGTTCAGCTTTTTCATGGGTGGCATTTCTCTGCTCCTTGTCCCTCCTTACATAACCGTATACACTTACAAAAAGTTGCATTAAGTGGGCATTTCTTCCTGTTCCTTCTTCCCCGTACATGAATATTAGTTTCTGTGCTTTTGAGAATTTAAGGCCTTTACTCCTGATTTGAAAGAGTTCAAGTGGTGAAAATAACCAGCAGGAAGAGATGTGCTTTTATGTAACAAATATGGTAATCCGAAGAAATATTCTCTGGAATTAAAAGGGACAAAACTTTCTCTGTAAAATATAGGACACTTATTATACTATACCTGATATTCTGTATGCTGTGTTTACCTGGCTGGCTGTAAGAATGGCTTAAAAAGACTTAATCAGAAATCCTTTTCCCTTTTAAATTGTCTTTGAGGCATGAGACAAATTAAAATGGACACACTTAGTACTTTGGTTATTTTTCCCCCTCTATGGAATACATACATGCATTATTCTGTGGTTCATTTTATTCTAAAACACGTGCTAATAATTAAACACAAAACCTTTCCCAGAAATGCCAGTAGCTTACTGCTAAAAGACTTTGGTTTATTTCTGCTCCTTCCATTTTTGTTTGCCGATCCGAGTCTCTGGCATCAGCTGCCCTTTCACTGCCAGCCAAGTCTATGAATGATATCCTAGAAAAAACAGAGTTTTGTTTATCTTAGGGGTTAGTTTTTATATTTTTATTCTATTTTTTAAACTGAAGTACTCTAGCACATGACATCAAAAGAATGATTAGAAACAACTACTTCTGAACTAAGAGAAATACCCACTGGAAATATCTGAGGCACCAGGATAGGCATAACATTAGGAACAATGTCAGAGCATCCTGACACTAACACAGTTGCCATAGAAAGTGTAACTGCATGTGATGAGAGTGCTCCCCAGTTTAATGGATATGCTGTTTATAAAGTTTAACACATTAATCTCTCCAAATAATCAATGTGCAGTTAAAGAAACTGTAGATTTTTAAATTATCCTTCCAGGTATCAGGGACAACTGCCTTGTCAAATTGGAATTCAGGGCAATATGAACAGAAGTTTCCACTGAAATAAGTAACAGACTGAGCTTTCAGTGTTCCTTGACCCTTCCTTCTATGAAAATCAATTATTCCCTCTCATGTTCCCTAGCTCTAGGTGCCAGCTGCTGTCACTGACTGTTGCACTGCATCTTTGCTGTTTCCTGTTTCTGGAATCCGACATCTCTTACAGGCCCTGACATCTCTTACAGGCATATCTTGGGATTCTTTCCTCACTCCGGCTCACCTTCAGTAACAAAAAACCAAAAAAGGCACAAATGCCACACCTACATAATCACATCCACTTCTTTTTCCAAGCCTTCCTCTTCTGCCTTTTCCTCTCTCCGCTATTTATGGCTATTCCATTTTGCCTTGTATTTAAAATAAGATCCTGGGAAGCAAAACTGCATGGTGGTTGCTGGAAGGGTCTGTCAGCATGATTTTTTGACACTCAGCACTAATACAGATACCTAGAACTCTCTTTTCTCAGACCTCTTTCTTGGGGTTGTTTAGTCTGGAGAACAGATGATTGAGAAAAGGCACAATTACAGTCTTCAAATACATAAAATAGCTGTTACAAGTTGAAGTAAACTGCTCTTTTTGGCTGCTGCAGATAGCACCAGAGCCACACTCTTAAATTATCAGGGAGGTTTAGGTGAGGTACTGTGATTCTTCTGGCCGCAGGCAAACTTCTCTAATGGAATCATCTCCACCTGCACCAGTCATCCAAGGCTCCCTTTCTAGTCAATTACAGGACAGAGCTGCTTTGAGGGACAAATCCACCTGACCTAGTTTAGGTGGAATGAGGTGGAAATTACTATTTCTATTGACTTCAAAGGTGATGAGCTCAAACATCAGTATGCCCATTGCAGACATTTACCTGCATCTACATTTACATCAGATGTGGCTTAAGTGCTCTCCCTGGGAACAGAGTAAGGACCGGAACTCCTCAAAGTCCCTCTGAACCCTATCTTTTGATTTCACTCACAGCTGCCCACTAACTCAACACCTCCTTTTTGTTTGCCTTCTGGGGATCCCTGGGCTTGACGTCCTCATCAGCCCCAAGCAATACACTTCTTATCTTACCTTCCAAATGTCCTGTTGGCTGTGTCTTTAATTTGAATTTGGATGATAGCATGAGATCGAGAGGAATCTGAGTTGACTCCAGTAGCACCTGTGCTACGTTCCTTCCCCCCCTTCAAAATCACCTGCAAAATAAGGGGGACAAAATCCAAGTGTAAATTGTAGATAAAAACACAACCTCTCAGAAAGAGATGTCCTCCTAAGATGAGGAAATATTAAGAAAAATGGTTCATTCCAGCCTTAAAATTTGGTGCAAGGTGGATGTTAAGTTAGACTGGATTCCTTCCAATGTTTCTTTCAGAACTTTGTATATGGACTTGCTTGCAGTAACACTACAGAGCTTTGGGAGGATACTGCAGGTAAGCAGTTGTTGCATCACACATTCAGTTGGATTTGCAAAATATACAAACTATAAAATTGAAACCAGAAGTATATCAGAAATGAAAGAAAGACTGTAGACATAACAGACTCATAAAATAACTATTTGTGGTGTTCTTTTAACATTTCTCTTTTTCATGTAATAGATAAGTACTGTTACCCAGAAAATAACACAAAAATTACAATGTGCCAAAACGTTTCTGCATTTCTGCAACTAAAAGAAATTGTAAGGAACAAGGTTAAAAGATCAATTATACTCAATAACAATAATAAAATAGCAAAACAAGGAAGAGAGGCAAAGCAAAAGGACAAAGACTCCTTCATAATACATGTCCGGATAGTTCTCTTTTGAAAACTCTTAATGACTCACAGAAAGTCTAGCAGCCGACTGCAGCAGGACATTCATAAAAGTCATTAGTTTTGTTTCTGGTTCTAAGAACAAATTAAATCATTATCTAACCAAATACATACATTCTCAGTTGACAGATGTACATTATTTTTGCCTTTCAGTGGCCAGTTCTCAATCAGAAACCTAACCAACAGAAACCTAACCAGCAGCTCTGAAGCATCACATTAGTGCTAAAAGCAGATAATTTCTGAACCAAAGCCAACATTAATGAATGGTAAATAACTAGGGATGTATTCAAGACTCTTCCCATATACCTGTTGTAGACTATTAGTAAGCTCTAAGTCAAGCCACTGACATTCCTGTGTTCAAAGGGGCCTGTGGACAATATCAAATTCTTTTTTTTGCTGAGATACATGTAATAATAAAGTCATTTCATAGCTCTTCTGTGTGTGGAATGTGATAATACAGAGGAATGTGTTAAACAACCATACAGCAAATTTACATATTAATTTGGAGAAGCATCACCAGCATATCCTGAAGCTTGGAGTGAATGGAAGATGAAGATAAAAATTAAATGGAATATACATGGCCAACACTATGCCAATTTTAATGAGTCAATTACACTATCAGGCACTTGTAATTTCCTCAGTGAGAAAGGAATTAAACTATGAGAAGTCAAGCTAAATAGAAAGCAGACTTAACCAGCTTGTTGGCTGCAGGACAATGCAGAAAATTTGCCAGTGCCTTTTTAGGGTCAGCCAGGCAGGGAAGGAAGACTGAAGCCTTGCTAGTACTGAATGTCAGCTGTTGTTTAAAGATCCTAATTTTACTTGCTATCACACATAATTATCTAAGCAGGGGCTTAATCCTAATTCATATCAAAACCTCAATCTTCAGTATTTTTTAATTTATAATTCTATTAATTTTCAAATTTATGTATTTTGTCCCACGTCCATGTACCTTTAAAATAAAAAATTTAAGTTCACAGAAACAAAAAAAACCCAAAACCAACCAGCCCCACTGGGAGAAAATACTTATCCAGCTTTAACAGTCCCTTGCTGGGACACAATTTAATTTCTGGAATAGTGATAGCAGTCTATTTCTTGGCAAAGATCTTCCCACAAGGAGTGGCAATAGAAGCAACAGCTGTAAATCAGCAGCTTGCATGTCAATAACACAAGTCACAGTGACCCAAGAAGCTTAGTGAATTAAAGGCACTTCTAACAGTGCTCCTTGGTGCTCTGCTAGGGTTGATGCTTTCAGAACCTTAAATGGGAACATACACATGTACTATTCAACAAGCAACAACCTCTGTAAGTAACATATCTCACAAATCAGCAAATGAGGCTGTAGAAGACAAAAAATAATCACAGACAGAGGTTACCTCCAGCAGTAGATCTACAGAGTCCACCTGAACCTCCCGCAGTCCAACTATTTGAACAACATGCTTGCTATCTTCTCTTGCAAAAAGTCTGAAAACAGTGCAGAAAGAAGATTTCTGAAATCTCAAATAGCAGCAATGAAAACATATGTCAGCGCTATGACACTGTGAAAAAGCAACCAAGGCTGCTGAATGGGGAGAGGCATCACTGTCACTCATTTATTTTCACAGCTGAAGAGCTATTTCTTTTATAACATGTACCACTGATATTTCACTGTTAAAGAGACATTAGCAATGCATTTGTGCTCGTTCAGGAAAATAATAAAAGCAGGGAAGTAAATTATCTTGTTTACATTCTAGAGTTCTTTCACCTGCATCTTGAGCTTCTCCTAAAAAGTTCAGACTGTAAGTTATGCTCTGTTCGAGTTCTCAAGATTCATGCACAGGATTTCAAAGCAGCTTCCTTAGCCACAGTCAGATTTCACAGCACCTCTGCTGTGAATCACACAGAAGCATTACAGTATACAGGAAGAATGTAGACATGATGCCTACAGCAGGAAGTTTAATCTTCTCCTTCAGTGACATGCAGGATAACTAGTAGACATCTCAAGGATATAAGGACACTCCTTTTGCCTTAGTAACTTGACCCCTTACATAGCAGATTATATTACCTGCTCCTTAAAGACTGTTTTGGAGAAAGGGCACACACATAGAATCATAGAATAGTTAGGGTTGGAAAGGACTTTAAGATCATCAGGTTCCAACGCCCCTGCCATAGGCAGGGACATCTCGCACTCAGGGAGAAAGCCTCCCTCTTGAGCACTCCTGTGTGCTCTAAGGACAGTGCTGTCCAGGCTGCTAAAGGTTCCAGCTGACAGGTAATGCTCCTTCAACATCACTGAAAAGAATTCACTACTTAGATATTAACAGACTATTACTTTATTCAGAGATTTCAGACCACAGTGATTTTTTTTTTATACCATATACTGAGTTGTCTGATTTCCATTCTGGATGGAGTTCCTGTAGGAGAATACATCCACTCAAAAAAAGTCTGGGGCTGAGGTGATGGCAGCATCACCTCAAGCTTGCTTCAGCTGTGTCACTGGGCTGCTGGGTGAGAAGGTGAGCAGACTTTGCAGTGTCAATCATGACAACTGGGAGATCAGTGGGATCTTCAGAGACTAGAGTGGCATGAGGAACAGTCAGAGACTATGTTTGAGTAGGCAAAGACACAGACTCCACAATGGTTGGCATAAGAACTGGCCACAAGAAGGTTCTTTCTCTACCTATGGTGTTCAGTTATTGTATTATTATAGTGTAAGCAAAATAACATGAGTTCATATCTATTCTTACTTATCCCTCTCCTCCCACAATAGTAAAAACTAGGAGCCCCTATCAATACCACAGTATTTAGTGTCAGATTCTGCCTTCTCTAAGTAGCTCCTAGAATCATAGAATCACAGAACGGTTTGAGTTGGAAGGGACCTTAAAGATCATACAGTTACAACCCCACTGCCGTGGGCAGGGACACCTTTCACTAGACCTAGGAACAACTCTAATTAAATTACATAACATTTACTGTAAATGGTAACATTTTAAATGAAATTGCATATAACACTAATTGATGTATAAACAGCAACCAAGTGATTCATAACCATAGGTTTATAGTAAAATATATTTTTATTTAAATACCTCTTCCTTCCATTTAGCAGGTCATAAAGCTGTCCACAGTAGATCTCATAAAAACTGATAAAAACAAGGAAATCTTTCTTGGACTGTGATGCTTCCAACTGTCTAAAGATGTCCTTGGCAGCCAAGGCGTAGAGTCCTGGGTTCCGCTGAGTACCTATCATAGTGTAAGTCTTGCCAGCACCAGTCTGCCCGTATGCGAAGCAGGTAGCATTGCCTCTGTGAAGATAACTTGTATTTTTAGCGTCACATCTGATTTATTCATATCTATTAAAAAAGATTCTGCAATGTAAATTTCTATCTGTAGTGGCCTCTTAGCAAGGCCACTTAGCAAGTTTGGTATGATATCCTATCTGAGAAAATGTAGTACATTTAACAGTGATTCCTAAGACTGTCCTATGGAGACCTGGCATGTCACAGAGTGCTGGCTCTCTTCCTTTCTTCCAGATGCCAAAAAATGCATTTAAGGAAACAAAAATTCATTACTATTCTTCCAGCTGCTTAGATGCTTCAGAAGTATCATAGAATTATGAATGGGAACCCTACTGATTATGAATCACAGAGAAAAATTACTGACATGAGATGCAAACAGCCACAAGTCAGGATTTGTATAAACACGTGTTGTACTTGATGAAAATTAACACCCCAGCACTATAATTTACTAAGCAAGGTTACTTTGTCTCAGGCTGCACACAGCTATATCAATCTAAAGAGCTGTTGTTGCCTAGGGGAAGGTCTTGTTCTTTCTTTCCTCTGCTCCCAGCTGTGTGACCTACCCCACTGACCCACTCCTGCCTTGCTTGCTCTCACGTTAGATTCTACTCCACTGAAACAACAGAAAGCTTTCCACTTTTTTTGCAAGCTAATTTTTGCTGCTTCAGTGAATTAAAGCACATCACAGAAGATCACAAAATATACCCAAGCTGGCTTCCCATGACCTATGGGAATGTGTCGAGCTGGAGATAAGGAAGACGATCATCCCCTTTCAGTGGTAGGAAGCTGTTTGGTTCTCTCACTCCAGCTTGTGCAGCCACAGTCTTGTCTTATTCCAAATTGCTCCAGCTTTGTCATCATAGCACCTTAATGTTATAGTGGCAATGCACATGAAGTGCCAAGGTCCCAGGATATGGCTCCAATGCCCTTCTACGCCCATCTAAGTTGAGGTTTCTACGTGCCTACTTCTTCCCCATCCTTGGTCTTTTACAGGCGCTGAACCCGCAAGTATGATGTGAACAGATTCAGGGAACTCATAATACAGAACAAATTATTTGCTGGCTCAGAACCCTAAGAAGAAATGGGTAAAAATGTCAGGCTGCAGTAAGCACAGTGAAGAATTTCTTGCCATCTTGGATTGCAGAATTAGCTTACCACAGTGTCACATTAGACCAATGTCAGTGAAGGGGATGCAGCAGGGAACTTAGGGAAAGCTGACAAAAAAGAGTGGCATCTCTCCTGGTGGCATTATTGGATTAGTTGTAATGTGAACTGTGCTCTTAGCGATTATTACACAGCAAGCTACAAGCGTCATTCTCCTTTTCTACTTTCCTTTTCTCAAAAGCATGACATTCTCTGTCTATGCTGATTATACTTGGAGATTTTCAGTAACAGACTCCTCCATTTTGTTAATTTTCAGCACGGACACATAATTCTTTCCTTCAAAGACTCAAAAGTGTAATTATATTCAAGCTTGGTATTTTGCATGAAAATAAGATTATTCATGTAAAGCCACCATCAATTTCCCCTTAATCAGGAAGTACGTCATTATAATTAAGCCTCTAAGCAAATATAAATCAATAAAAGTAAATCATAAGATTACTAATAATTTCTATTGCCCTATGAACTGTAAAAATAAGTGAAAAAATATCTCACAGCAGTCTCATGAAAGGGGTAATATTATTCTTCTACAGATGAGTGTGCCTAACACCTCTTTGTTAGAGAGGAGATTAGACTTCAGAAGTGCTGGAGCCGTAGCTTCTCTGAGGTCCAATTTTAACTGCCTTTCTGATTTAAATTTCTTACAAAATGTGAAGAAAGTTTTCCTTGTTTTATGTTATCAAAACTTCAATCGAAGACATTCTAAAAGGGGGAAGGTATGAGGCAAAAGTGAAATAAATGTATTTTTCAAAAAATGAGAAGCGTAAAGGAAAATTAAAGCAGTACCTGAAATTTGCAAACAACAAAGCAAAAAAATAAGAAATGTAAGCAGTGATGCCCTACCCATTGAAAATGTGCTGAATGAGAGGATGAGCTGTCTTCATATACACATCCTGATTGGTACATGACTCCCCAAAGACTTCATCAAAATAAAAAACATGCTGAAAAATAAATATGATTTACATGAAAATGAGTATGTTTCACTTCTCCTTCACCCCCATTAAAATGCAAAGTTAAATAACAGAAATCTTTCCAATAACTTCATATGGCTTTGGATGAGGTACAAAGTGATTTAGCCCATTTAGCCACATGACACACGCAGAAACAGGTTATGACTAATCAAGAGACTGAAGGTAGGAAAAACAAAAAAGGTAAAAAATAAAAAAGAGAAACAAAGATACCTTAATTTCCCATCATTCTGAAGCAGAACATACCACAGCCTTCTGACAAGAATAATGCTAATTAAAAAAAACTATTCTTGAAATGACTCACCCTGTACAGATGTACAGTAAGACCACAACAGTAAAAAGAACTCAGAGTCAGTGATTGACTTTCTCAAAATTAGTCCTCAGTTGTGATTAATTGGCTCTGTTCTGCAGACTTAAAAACTGTTTGTGCCAGAGAAGACAGAAGTTATTCCTAAGTAAAGCTGGATTCTTTTATCTTAGAAGGAGTCAAGTAAAACCCAAATTCCCACACTCCAGATCTAACTCAAAGCATCAGGGCCTCTGGAAACACTGCAACAGAGCTTATTATGGGGTCCTTCTAGTGTTTGTAGGGACAGTCTCAACCACAACATTTTCAAAAGAGCCTCCATGGACTGGCATCTTAACACTGCGCTCTGATAAATCCCCTGCAGTGCAAACTAAAGTGGTAGATGTCTAGAACTGAGAATCATTTCAACATTGCGCAAACCAACCACATGAGCACACAGGCAGGTTAAACCAGAGTCTCAGCACTTACACAGCTCCACTGGCCTGCAGTTGTGGAGCTGGAACATGACCCACTGCCTCCCATGCGCTCTGTACCCCTTGCTGTTCTTTCTGTAGGAACCAGAGGTGGAGGCAGGGTGAAAGCAAGACTTGGAATTTCTCCTGGGTCCTACAGAATAGACACAGCCTTTGCCATGGCATACTTTTGTTTGGACTATGTTAACTGATAGTATTTCATTTGTCTGTACTGATATAACAAAGTCAATTAGTGGTTATTTCAGCACTGAGATACTAAGGTGATAGGCACCACATAAATGCCAAATATAGCGAGTCAGATGGAGGGAGCGGGGTGGAGTTGCTGCATTTGTCACACTGTAAAATGTGGTATATGAACCAGGCCCCAGAGAGCTGCAATCTGAAATTTTACTGGATACTCCAAACAGTTGTTCCTAGGAACCAGACTGTAAAAATAACACCCAGTAGAGTGAGAATGGCTTGCTGCTGTCCAGAAATCAGTTGTGTTCCTGGTGCTGTCATTCAAAAGTGAGAATTTGAACTATGACAGCACAAGCTTTTTGGGATTAAGAAACAAAGGCCAAAAAGGGAACTTAATTTTAAAAAGCATTTGAGAACAAAGGAAGGGAGGGGATAAAGGGTGTACGTGATTCATTGAAACAGACCTACAGGGCTGAAATAGGGAAAAGGGAACTGCTCACTGAAGCACTCAGGAAAGCAAAAGGAGACTCTGCAGCAGGCAAATCTCCTGCAGCAACGGCATGTAGCAGAGGGTTTTATTTTGCCACGTGGAAAGCAAGCTGCAAGATACATGTTTTTGAAGCTTAAAATTCTGGGCTTGGGTTTTCTGCCACAGGCTGGCATAAGTAGAAGCAATTCAAATATAGTTCACTGAGCTCAAGTGCAAGAAATGAAGAAAGGCCTTTTCTGCTTCACCTCATGGAAACTCTAAGCACAATTTGCTTTATTGTGTCCATGCAAGTGACTGGCCCATAAACACAATTTACAAGTGGAATATGTTACCTGTAAAATATATTGGGTGAGATCAACTGCCTCCTTCTTCTCATGAAGAAGTAAGGTTTCCTTATCTTTCACTGTGATGATATTAACCTCCCCACGTCGCTCCTCTCTCAGGCCCAAAGGACGTTTTCGGACACACACTCTGATTTTTTCACTCTCTGTCCATGGTGTCTCTTTCTCAGAAACACTGGATCTACAACAATAAAGTAGGTTTACATTTTAAAATGAAGTTACAACAGAATCTAGAATTTATTTAAATTTATTAGCTTTATCAATAAATGTTTCTGTCTTTAATGGCTTATAAAGACCCAAAATACACCTGTTACACAGTGAAGTTTCTGCATGTTTTTTCCTATAGACTGATGCTTTTTGTGCACTTCTGTTAAAAGAATACTAGTGTTTTTACAGCTTCATTCCTGAACTTGTTGCTGGACTGGCATATTTTCAGTTGACAACGAAGATGTGATGGAAGCTGGCATAATATGCAAGTTAACATAATGAAATTTAATCTTGCTGAAGTTATTCACAGTTGTAATTAGTCAATAATATACAGATACAAATATGAACAGATCTTGAACAGGAGAGGGTATCATATTTAGTTGCTTTTCCTTTTACACTGAGTTTCATTCTTCCTATTATGGGCTGTCAAGCAGGTTACAAGTAAATAATTGAAACTGGGAAACAAGACCATGTCATCGTGTGCCATATCACCATGTTCCTATTCAGCTCAAAGAAAATTTGAAATGTTGATCTTGTCATTGTCTCCCCTATAGTCTTTTTTCATAAAAATAATATGTGGTTTCAGACCACGGGCAAAGTTGTGCTATTGTGTTTTGGCAACTCTTCCAGACACCTCAGAAACATGAGGTCATTTCCTTTTCATTGACTATCCTGCAGTATAAAACATTTTGCGATGCAGCATAGAGAATATGCTTGAATTCAACCAAAATACATTCATTCTGCCTTTCCCTTTTCAAGCTGTTTTCAGCCAAATGAGTAATAATGTTCAGCCTGGATTTGAATGTCGAGTTGTGAAACAAAAATTCCAGCTTTTAATCAAGCCCCAGCTTGCCCAGAATTAGTGTTTCTGCCATGCTGCCCAAATGCCCTTCCAAAATCTTTTAATGGAGCAACCAAAAACTAACACATACTGGTTATCTAATAAATTAAAACCAAACCCACAAGTTACTCAGTATTTCATTACAACTCTAAGCTTGTAATATCATTGGTATTGTGCATGATTCCACAGAAACACACAACATGCTGATATAAATCTCAAGATGCAGTATTCGAAAACTACACACAAGTAACCTTTACTTGTAACTGCAATCCCTTTAATTTTAGCACAGCTTTCCCATGCAGACTAGGATCTGGCCCTGCATTAAGATGGAAAATTCTTTCCCCTGTAAAGAAAGGCAGTGATACTTGAAATAAGATGCTTCAAAAGCTAGTGTGAGCTTAAGGATATCACTAGGCACCAAATGTCGTCCAACAAATGATCAGAGGCTCTGAAGTTTAATTCTCACTGCACAGGCTGGATTTGGTTACCTACAGAAAGAGTCTGGTGTGCTCTCAGAGGCTGCAGAGGAAGCACTGATTGCAAAATCTGGGGAAAGTGAAAAATGAAGACTTGGAGGCTCCATTTTTGAGAGAAAAGGCATAAATTCTTTCTAGTACAGACACACATTCAGTTGAATATGCTTTGTATAGGAACAAAATGCATTTCAATTCTATATGCCGAACATGAAGTTTAGATTTTCTATTAATCTTTTGTAAGCAGTAATTGTATTTTTAACAATTTTTTTTTCAGTTACTAAAAAGACCAAGAATCTTGACACAGAACATTAGAAACCTAATTAGACAATAGGTCAGAAGAATAACCATGCTCTGTCCGTTGCTGTCAAAATCAAGCCATTTGGTGTAGGCAAGTAGAAAATACATTGAAACACATTGAAAGAGCTCTTAATCTTTCTGCCATCTGAAATCATGACAGTAGTTTCCAGTGTTTCTCATAGATGAGACTAGATGAGACTTTGTAGTGATCAAATCAAATAACAAGGTGACATGGGAATGGATGGATTCAGTGAAGCAGCACTTGCAAAACGGGAATCACAAACCCATGTATCAGCAGACTGGCTCAAGTCTAGAAGGCATGACACATACTCTGTGGTCAAAACAGGAGAAAGAGAAACTCAGGCATGTCAGGAGGAGGATGCAGAAAGCCCACCATAATGCTCATTAATAAGATGAACCATGTTAGGCACAGAATAATGTGCTTAGGAAAAATAGAGAAGAACAAGGAAACAAAGTGAAAACAATGGAGAACACAGCTTTATCACAGGATTAAAAACCTTGAACTCCTCTATCTGAGCCATTAGGTTATATTTTATCATTTTTTACTTGCTTTACTTTTACCAGAGAAGCACTAGGAATCCTGCCCTTTAGTTGCACCTTGGCTCAACTAGAGGATGCAGAAATGCACTAAGATGCTAATATAGGTATACAGTTAGAATGCTTCTCTGGAAGGTGGGAATGACTTTTTTTTCCAGCAAAAGGGACTTATAAACCTCTGCCGTGCATTTCGCAGTTTAAATTCTCTAACTACTATGTCACCATAGTACTTTCCACTGTGGCAAGAACATCTGTTCCTCCAGGCTACATGCATGCTCAATGGGAGTTGTAACTGACACCCTGACTCCATGGGTTCTCCCATATACCAGATCTTTCCCCACAGCCTTCTCAGACCAAGTCCAATCTTCATACAGCTGCCCCTCATTGCATTTTAAACAGAAGTGCCACAACTGCACTGCAAGGTGCTAGATGCCGGCAGCATGTGTGCAGAGGGGTATGTGCTCTGCTGCTGAGGCAGGAAAAACATATTTTGTGCTTTAAAAGATTTTGCAGGGTAGATTTACCCATGGTTCAAGATAACCATAGCCCTTCTGTTACCATATGCTGGTAGAAGTATGGAAGTTACAGATCATGTGGTTGGGGAGCAGCTGCAAGGCATCCCTCTCACTACCATATCTATATCCTATAACAGGTATATTCATTCTGTTTCTTTTTAAAGCTCCAGCTTAGAATTTTTTTTATAAAGAAACCCATCACAAAAGTTATCCTTTTCACACGGAAAAACTTGACAAGCTTATCAACAGACAATGCCATATTTTGGAAAAACGTTTTTCACTATAGTCTCATGGAAAGATAAAGAGTAAGAAAGATTGGCCAAAACACCATGAAAACAAAGCCTTATATCCTGAAAGACAATAAAGGCTATTCTTAGAAAACCTTGGTGAGCAGCAGCTGATGAAATTCAGCTGATTAGTTCTACCTGACTTGGAGAGTCCCAAGTGCTTACTAGTAGCTCTCTTCAGTATACAATTTGGCATTGCTCTGTAGTAGTAGAATTGCTCATTTGGAGGTGATGAAGACAGATTCTCCTCCACTAGGAAGAATTAATAATGACCAACTTGAAATATAGCAAAATAAAGGCAACTAATTATTACCTGATACAGGAATGAGGTAGCCCATAATTATACCCTGAAATATGAGTTATTCTTTGTACAATAGGAGCTTCAGAATCCCCCAGGAGCGGAGCAATATCACCAGAAACTGTTGGACAGCTCAGGTCTTTTTTTGTGCATGTTCCAGGAGTATTTAGATCTCTTCTAGTTAATCTGATGAGCTCTGAATCATGTGGTTGAGTGTGTCCCAACATTTCCCCTATACTGTTCTCTTCATTGGCACCAAAATCAGATAAACCATATGGTTCAGATTTGGAGTCTTCAACCGTTCCATCATTTTCTTCAAAGAAGGACTCAAAATGCAACTGTCTGCGGGGACCTGATCTAGTCACCTGAGGCTGAATGAAAAGGCCACTTGGTTGGAAATCTTGCTTGCTTAAGTTTGAAATGTCTTCCTCTTGCATAATTTTGATTATTCTAATGAGCTGAAAAAGCCGTTTGCGATCATTCATGTCGTGAACCCCCAGTTTGGTGTAATCTTTCATGGTAACTTTGGCAAGCTCATCAATCTTCTGAAGGCCAAAGGCAGCAAAATGGGGATAATATTTTTCAAGTTCTGCCTCACAAAGGCATTCATAAAGGCATGATGCCATCTTCAAGCTAACACCTACAAGAAATCAAACAGAGTAAGTATTAGAATCATATGAAGCATCACATCTGACAAAGTTACTCATGAAGAAAGTACATATTTTCTGATGCCATTACCTGAAATTAGGCTGGAAGCTTGTTAACTCCAAGTGTTCAATACACTAGATTGCCAAATGTGCCAGAATATAAAAATAACAACAATAAATGAAACATGAAACATAGTTATCTATGAAATTATATTTTTAAGTTACAGACAATAGACAACAATGTGTAAAAACTGCACAATGCAGTGTTACTTACTGCTGCAGAGTTCCTACACGCCTGATGTCTACTTGATGAATGCCACAGCTACTGAAACCCTGTCCTCAAGCTACAGAATGTAAAATGCCTAATTTTAGACTCTCAATTTAATATCAGGGCATGTGGTCTAATGTGGTTCAGCTATGCCTGGTTAATGAACCAAAGCAGAAGAAATTGCTTTTGTCCTCACCTCAAGCTGAATAATTAAGACCATTCATCTTATAGATGAAATACAGCAATGCTGTAGTTTTGTTGCATACTTTCTCTTCAGTCATGAATCTTGTGAGCATTTCTGAGTGTCCTTGATAGAATACCCAAAACATTCTGCAAAATCTGAAAGACAGAATTTCTCTAAATCTACATATGCTATTGGAATGCCATACTTGCATTCTTGGGAAGCCCAAAAAAACCAGCATGCATCACTGAAAGGTATGCAAAAAAACCCTCAACTCCTTCACTCATATCTCCCTACCAAGGCATTGTGCAGCTGTCTGTATCCAGATGGATTAATATCTGCAGATATTTTTACTTGTTCCATAAAATGGAAAAATGATAGCACTTCAAGTATCTGTTGCCCACTGCCTTTTTATATCTTTGTTCATTCTAGGTCCTTCACAAATACAGCTCTTACTCATGTTTGGAGGTTACAATAACATTCAAGAAAACGAACTTATTTAAGACTAATTTCCTCCCTTCCCCACATCTCCATCATTCAGGGTAAGTTCTTTGGCAGGATTTTTCAGGTATCTCTACAACATTAAAAAAGTTGGTCACCAAATATCACCCAAGAATTTGATTCAATATCATTAATTAACACATTATGTTGAAATAATAGTAACACCAATAAAGATTATTTTAAGGTGCCCATTATGTGAGATATTACACTATTACACAGGCAAAAAGGTGCAGTAGAGGACATCTAAATGACTTAGAAGCTAGAGTCTAAGCTGTAGATAGCTATAATAAAATTATGAGTTTCAGAAGTACAAGCTTTAAGATCAAAATATTGGTATGAGGGCAGACTTAACCTGTATGTAATGCAATTATGAATCTTGAGATAAAGTCAGAGCCACTGCTGAGACTGTTAGATCCTCGAGAGGGAAATCAGAATTGAGATGATAGGAAACCAAAAGAACACATGTGCAAGGGTTTTCACAAGCATTCACAATTTACCAACTTCTCTAACACAAAAGTCCACAAGAACTTCAGACTTCATTTCAAGGATTATGTTTTTGAAAAAAAAGAAAAGCCTGTCTTGCATAAGGGGCTTAAAATGTAAATACACTGCAGGTCCTCTGTAACTGATGTATGCATTGCCATGGTAAACTTAACTTTGTTTGACAGAAGGAGCAGCTAGAACAAAATGCCAAGACAGCACTCTCTGAGAATCTGATGAAGATGAGCACACTCTACCAAATTACTTTTGATTTTTTTTTTGTCTAATCTCACTCTGTATCCTAGATTATACCTACATCTTTAGATATGCATAAGTTAAATACAGAGAGGCCAAAGACCAGTGCAAGAATCAATTCATTATTAACCACTGTTTGAATTACAATGTTGAGCACAGGAGAGAGAGAGGATAAAAAGGTAAGAAACCAAGGCATTTTCCAAAACAAGAGCAGCAGACAAGGGGAAAGAGCTAAGAATGTTAAGGTCAAGATTCTAATTAAAAATTAAACAAAAAAATGCATGTATATAGTTAGAAATGCCTGTACAGACAAGTTTCCATTTTCTGGAATAAGGATTGTGAACAATATAGGTACTGCAGAACATGCCAGAAGATAAGTACTGAAACTTGTAATCAGCTCTGCAGAGCTTACTAGCTAAGGCTTTGTGCCTTGTGAAAGCAGTTAAATGGCTTCTTAATGACAGCTGGTCTGGGAAGTAATGTAAGTACTTCCCCCCAGATATGATAAATCTTGCTGGATCTAAGTGTTTTCAACGTAGGGAAACCAAACATTGACTAATAAAGGAGTAACAAACTAATCAACCACGGATACAAGAGTTTAAGCAGTCATCATGGTGATGGGTTTCAGAACTTCTGATTACTTTAAAACTCAAGAGAAGACAATTTTCTAAAAAAATTTGGTGTGGTTCATACATGAGAAAATCCAGGGAAAATTGCAGTTGTCAGTGAAACCCTTCTGGCCTTTTAACTGGTGATACTCTAAAAGAAAGGAGTGCCCTTCTACTTATTAAAAGAATACTTTTAATTCATTCAGCACTGTGGAATTTCTAAAACAGATACATAATTCTTCAAAATAAATTGGCTTTGTAAAGAAATGAGAGGAGTATTGGTAGGTTTTCAGGAATCGTAAATTGTTAATGATAATGCCATCTTCTGGCAAAAAAAGGGAAAACTTTCACTTTTTTACAATAACAGCCAGCATTCCTTCAGTTATTGCCAGGAACTAATTTTGTTTGTTCACTTAAGAGAACATAGTGTTCTAGGGCAGAAAAATATGACATTCTTCAGTGTGGTAGTTTCATATCAAACCCCAGGTTTTCTCCCCTGCAGAGCTATGGGGAAAACATAATCCTTTATTAAAAACAGGATTGAGACAAAAACCTAAGACTTCTTAAAATAGTTGGATATAACGTATTTTGGGAAAAAAGCGAGTCACTGTGGAGGTATATAAGTTATAAGGTCAATCAATCTCAACTGTAAGGTCACTGAATCTTTATTATGACATTGCTTGTACTTCTTTGCTGTTCAGGGGTTGCTTTTCTCATTTTAGCTGGCAGAAAGACTCAACATCACTTTGAAGTTTTCATCACTTTCTCACACAAGGGACCTACTTTGCCAGGGATGAAAAAGATACTGAAGCTAATCAGTGAAACTGTGAAATCAGCAGAGTCCAGAGCATCTTTGCTTGCTTATACACAAGCTAGCAGCGAGGGAGAAACAGTTAATGGTGATATACCTTACTGCTGGAACATGTCTGAACAAGGGACCAGTCAGCCCATGATCTTTATGTGGCAAATCTGAGTATTATAAGAATAAAGCAGCCTTAGACCACTCTATCTTGATCCTTGTTAGCATCTGATATATTAAAGATCTCAGAGCAGTGTTGATTTGAATAACCCTCCCATGCCCTGTTGTCCCACTGTAGCTCACTCACATTTACCTGGCAATTCTGGCTGACTTCCACAGATATTCCTGAGTGTCACGGCCAAGACATGACACAAGTATCACTATATCTGTATTTTAAACTGGGGAAATTAAGTCATGGCAAAGTAAAGAAATTGTGTGTGGCACTCCTACAACTGCAAACTAATGCAACTATACATTTAATCCTTCAAATAATCTAAGATAACCGTTCTGAATCATAAACTTTGGTCTGATCATTAAATAATTTTATTAGGCGCAATTTTCAAAGGCATTTGATAAACATGGTGATTGTTAATTAGAGTACAAAACCTAAACAGCGTCTTGTTTTTCCTGCCTGTCACTTCGTATTGTGTAAATCACTTTGCTTGACAAGTACCTTATAAAAGCAAAAGTTAAGAACTTAAAAAACTTGTAAACACACGTAGCAGACAGATACGTTTCCTCTCCTGAACACAACTAATATAGCAGTGTATTGTACCCATTACTTGTAACCATATTAACCCAAACAAGTCTTCCGCACAGGATCCATCCATGCCACAGCGTTTGCCAGTTTTTTAAGTATAGAAGCAGAAGCCCAGAAAAAAAAAGCTGATCCAGCAACCATACAAGAGAAAAGGGGAGACTTATTAACTCACATCACCAGTCATCCACCTTCTTATTCATCTGGCCGTTACACTCTTCTTTAACTGTGATCCAAAGCCAAATGTGACTTAGCCCTCCAGAAGTAAACAGATAATTTGCTTTTCCAGAGCACCAAACAAAATGTTTTACCATTAATCATTTTGGCCTCATTCCTTGGAAATTAGGGTATTTGTAGGTAGGGACCTATGAATCAGTGTTTGACACTGCAGCAGATTCTTTTCTAAAATCATATGATTGCACTACACAACTCCCAGTGCATGTACACAACATGGCATTAAACATTCTGTTGCTCAATGGAATGTTGTAGCAGCCTGTTTTGAAGGAACAAAGCTGAAGACTCACAACAGGTAACCACTTAGTTTCAGTACAGCTAAAAGCAAACGGAGAGGAGGGAATAATTTTAATGTCAAATGACAGCTATTTTGCAGATGACCATGATGATGATCTTCTCCCTGCAGCAACACTCCTACTTCGTTTTCTACAGACATACCAGCACAGAGTTGGTTACTAAAACTACAGTTCATTTCATTGCTTTCTGAATCAGGCTTAAAAACAGCAGCTGAATGATGGGAGGGTTTTTTCTTTGTTTGTTTCCGACAGGGGTTTTTTTCAAATGGCAAGATACTGCTATTTTTTATATTCACCCCTTCATTCTGACTATAGCCTGGTGACCTCAGCAGAAGAGAATCCATCCTACAGCTGATCCCTGACAACTGCTTAAAACAACAGCTGCACGGGAATGGGAAGTGTCTAATATTCAACCACACGCTAAGAAAATAATCTGAGTTATATTGGGATGCTGATTATTTGAAAATTGTACCCAAGCTTCTCCTGACAGTAAGGTTTACCAAATGGCTCTAAAAATTTATTTTATAATTTTATCAAAATAAACTACAGTGCATCTGGAATTACACTGTATGACTGAGGGGGCGCATGGTTACTGAATTTAGCCCCATAGGCATTTATAGTTTCCCTCACTGAATTTAGCCCCACACTGAGGAATTTTATAGCTTCATCACTGGAAGAATCATGGAATCAAAAAGGTTGGAAACGACCTTTAAGATCATCAACTACAACCTCTACTCCAGAACTGCAAAGGCCACCATTAAACCATGTCACGGAGCGCCTTGCCTACACGGCTTCTGAACACTTTCAGGGACGGTGATTCCACCCTGGGCAGCCTGTGCCTGAGCACCCTCTCTGTGAAGAAATCGTTCCTGATATCCAACCTAAACCTCTCCTGGCACAGCCTGAGGCTGTTTCCTCTTGTCCTGTCTCTTGTACTTGGAAGAACAGCCTGACCCCACCTCACTACAACCTCCTTTCAGGCAGTTGTAGGGGGTGACAAGGTCACCCCTGAGCTTTCTCTTCTCCAGACTAAACCCCCAAGGTCCCTCAGCCATTCCTCATCACACCTGTGCTACAGGCCCTGCATCAGCTCCGTTGCCCTTCTCTGGCTCCGCTCCGGCACCTCAATGTCTCTCTTGTAGTGAGGGGCCCAGAGCTGAACACAGAATTTGAGATGCAGCCTCACCAGTGCCTAGTGCAGGGGGATGATCACTGCCCTGGCCCTGCTGCCACACTATTGCGGGTACAGGCCAGGATGCTGTTGGGCTTCTTGGCTGCCTGGGCACAAGCTGCTCATGTTTAGCTCTATCAATCAGCACCCCCAGGTCCTTTTCCATGAGCAGTTTCCAGCCACTCTTCCCCAAGCTTGGAGCGTTGCATGGGGTTGTTGTGACTGAGGCAGGGGGCACTGGGACTGAGGACTGAGGCAGGGGCACTGGGCCAGCTGCCAACCGCCTCCTGTAGCAGCCCCTCACCGCTGCACTCCCCTGCGTGCAGGCTCTCCTCCCATTCTCCCCTGCCCTGTTCACGCCGTATTGCCCTCCCCTCCCGCAGACACCAAAGTGGGGCAGGGCCTGAGGGAGGGAGCGGCCCTGCAGACGGCGCTGAATCCAGCTTGGGGTCAGCCACGGACGGGGCGGAGAGAAGCTGCGGGGCTGTCCCGCCACCCGGAGACGGTGGTGGTGGCCCCGGGACAACTCCCTGCTCCATCCCTTGTCATAGCAGACCCCTTCGCCTCCCGGCGGGCACCCCCCGCCCGCAGCCCCCGCGAACACTCACCATCCGCGGCGCCATTCAGCAGCACCGACTAGGCCACGTCTCCATAGTAACCACGCTTTTCCCGCTTCAAACCCTCGCGCGCAGTCTCGCACCCGCAACCAACCAATAGGAAGAGGGAACAACACGGATGGGGCGTGTTCCGGCGGGGAGAAACCAATCAAAAATCTCCGTGGCCGGAGGGGGCGGAGCCCGGTTACAGGAGGGTGGGTGCGGCAGGACGGAACGGGGAGGGAGGGGCTGCCGTGATTGGTTGGAGCTACCTTCGGTCGTGCGCCGCGCTCCGCCTACTCCCTGTACCGGAAGTGAAGGTAAGGGCGGGGGTCATAGTGGGCTCGGTAGCGGGCGTTCCGGGTCGTCGTCGCGCATCGGGGTCGCTCGCTGCTGTTACAACACCCGGGGGGAGGCCCTGCCTCTCCCATGCCGCCGGGCCTTGTCCCCGCCACAGGCCGGTGCCCCTGGAAGCCGCTCGTCACCACTGTGGGCACGGAGGGAGGGGAGCGGGGCCCTGGAGGACCGCAGCAGTGGGGGGACATTGCGGGTCGGTGTCTCACCGGCCCTCGGTGAGGTTTGTCCTCCTCGGTTGTCGCGTCCGACCGCGGCGTTTCCAGGCATGCTCGGGAGGTGGTGCTGGTCTCACGGCTTGGGCGGCCTCTTGGCAGCACGGCAGCCGGGGATGATCCCCGCGCTGCCGGGGGGAGGGGATGGCAGGGAGCGGGGATTGTCTTTGGAGCGTCTGGTCTGACTGGGACTAATTGAGGCAGTTAGAGGGGGTAACCAAGAGAGCTGAGCACCGCCCTGGAGCTTGGGTGTTGGAGAGGGACCCCGTGCTGCGGGTTGGAAAATGGAGGTGTCACGATGCGTTCCAGGGAAGGTGGTGGTGTGTAAATTTATTACTTATTGAAATGTGCAGTTCTGTAAAAATGCAAAGCTTTGCCTGGAACTGGGAATCACTGCGACATGGATTTCTTAATTGTTTTCTCCCCTTTTCTGTATAGGACCAGCTGTGTCGCTTATTGATCACAGTATTTATCACTTAAGATGTGTGTTCCGTTGTATTTACATAAAATTAATGCTTAACCCATATGCCAAGAAGCATTAGATTTTGTGCAACAGCCTCACGCCAAGCCCAGACAGCAGGGGGCCGTCCTTTGTCATTTGTTTCCTCAGCTCTGCCACTGATACCCTGTGGAGTTATCTGCTGCAGGGAATCTGTCTTGGGGAGTTATTTCTCTGTTACTTCCAATGACATTGAGGTATTATCGTTGCACAGGGCCCTTGGATTTTGCAGTGGAAAAGCTTCAGGGTGCTAATTAGTTGCTTTCCTTTTGCCTTAGCATTTTTTTTTACCCTTTCTGCAGTGTAGTTTGTAATATATCAGCAGCAGAGAAATTACTTGTAGGTCACATTTCATGCTTCTGCTAACTTTATTTTTAGGAAAAGCTTTTATATTGGGTCCCGCTTCCTTGTCTTAAAAGGAAATTACTCAGATTTTTACAATTCAGATATTGTTAATGAGATGCAGCTTAATTGTGTAGTAACTGGACAACTTTCAGTGAATGCTGAGATATGTTTGCTCACTGTTTGATACAGTGAGTCTGTTTGAGCTCCAAGTTCTGTGTTGTTCCTGCTTGATCCTCTGTGCTCTTCCACAGTGCGGTTAACAGCAGGGCATGGCTGTGAGGGCCTGTGGCTTGATCATCTACAGGAGGCTGCAGTCAGCACCATCTTCTAAGGTCACTGATGGTATTGAATACCTCCTCCTTCAGACATCCTATGGGACCCATCACTGGACCCCACCCAAAGGTGATGTTTGTTCTGGTAACACACTTCAAGGTTGTTTGTGTCCAAGTGCGTGTGCTTATAGAATGAGCTTTGGCTGAATGCTGCAAAGGTCAGCTTCAAGGGGCAGCTTGCAGTTGAAAGTAGCCACTCATAATGCATTTCGTTTGATTGTGCTGTTTGTGCAGCTGGGTGGGAGTTTCGTGGCCAAAATTCTTTGCAAGTTGTGGTTGTATAAACTATTGTGCAGGACTGATTGGGGTTGAGGGGGTCACACACCATGCTCCTCAGATATCTGATGTTTCTGGCAGACAACTGAAATTAGGCAGCTAGGGAAATTTCTGCATTCTTACTCAGGGTCTAACCCTCCAGTGGATATCACTGTTACCAGTGTGTTGTCTGACCTCTGTGTAAAAGAAGAGTTACGCTTTGCAGCTCAGTATTAAAGGGCAAACTGAAGTGGGTGATGATTTACTTTAAAACACCTTTCTTAGAAGATGCAGGAGTTCCTTTATGTGCAGGAGATCATTAGTAAAGGGCATGTACCTGTATAGCAGAGACGAGAGGGAATTATAGGGGAATTAACGTTACCAGGCATCTTTAACTAAGCTGTCCTTACTTATCAGTGGTGCCCCAGAGGAGACAACAAGACCTGTGCCTCAAGACATGCAGGAACACCTTGTCTGTAAATACACTTGGCAGAGCCAGTGTTTGGTAATACATAGCTGCAGCCCTGGTACCAGGAAGAGTATTGCACATAAATGTGTCAGGTTCCTTGTACATGGTCTTATATGCTAGTTTGTATCCCCTGAGATGTATTTCGGCTAGTTTCTACTTCTTGTTTTGTAAAATGCAGTGCCGTTAAAGCATAGTGCAGGAGCAGCCTGTAACCAGGAATTCACAAATTGGAAAAAAAGCTTGTGACAGTATCAGCTGTGCTGTCCTATTAAGGGAAAGAACAAAACTTTCCAAACCTGCCCCTTTGTCCCCTTGACCAAAAGCCTAAGGGAGTACAGTCTGTAGCTAACAAATATGTGCTGGGACATGGTTGGTTGTTGTAAGAGGAGAGACCCATATGGAAATGTTCACTGGGAGCACAGCAGTTCTGGACAAGTGTTTGAAGTTACTTGCAGGCATTTCAGTAGGGAGAGGAAAAAAAAGAAAAAATCATAGAATTGTGGAATGGTTTGGAATGGGAGGGGCCTTGAAAGGTTCATCTGGTCCAGCTGCCCAGCACTGAGCAGGGCCTCCTTGCACTAGGTGACATTGTCTTCAAGCCCTGAGCAGCCTGACCTAGAATGTTTCCAGAGAACTGGGCATCTCTCAGCTGTCCGGGCAACCTGTTGGAGTGTTTCAGCGTTGTCATGGTAAACAGTGCTCTCCTTGTAGCTCACCTGAATGTCATCTATTGTAAGCGTAAAATCCGTGCTTTTTGTCTGCTGGCACAGGTCCCATTCCCAGTCCTGTCCCCATCATTCTTACAAGCTCCCTGTCAGGCCTGAATGGCTGACAGGTGTCCCTGGAGCCTTCTCCAGACTGAAGAACTCCAGATTTCTCAGCCTCTCCTTATAGAGAGGTGTTCCATTATTCTGATCAGTTTAGTGTCCCTCCTCTGGTCCTGTCTGAACAGGTTCGTGTCTTTCCTGTGCACAGGGTCCCTGAGCTGGATGCGTAACTCCAGCTGGGGGCTCACCGGAACAGATTAGAGAGGGGAAGACTCACCTCCCTCTACATATTGTTTAAGATTTATAGATTAAAAGGCACAGTCAGTCTTCAGTAGTACCTTGGTACAGACTGGGGGCATTAAAGGAAGGGAAGCTATTACATTGAATGTATTGTGTTTTATGAGTGGTTTTCGGAGGCAGCCTGAGGTTGTGTGATGCAGTAACATAACTTGTATATGATGCAGACATAGATTTAGTGTGGCAGGAGCCAGAATGAGAGGTTGTAAGAGTCTAACCGAGAACATGTGGAAGGCAGTTTACAGCTGCAGCTGTACACTGGTGTTTTTAAAAGTTCCCTAAGCAGCTGCAATGCTTATGGGATTAAATTGGACTCGCTTGTATCTCCCCACGTGAGTTTTATCAGCCTCATCTCTTGCTCCCACAGCTGTGAGGTTGCATTAGCTGAGGCTGATGGGAAGGGGGTGCAGGGTTCATTTTCTCTTCAGCATGTTGGAACTGCATTTGTGCAAATGGCTGGGAGGATCTGGAAGCTGTGAGGTACTGCCAGCAGCCCTTTTTCCACCCAGTAGATAGACTATTGTACTACACGAAGTTGGAAACTTACTGATCTTAGACCTGATGTTGTCAACAGCAGTGTGAGGGGATTGTCTTTTGGTGTGCTGGAGGACAGGAGGTCGCACAGGTATTCTTTGAGTTGAAACTGGATCTCAGCCCTCCAGCATTATTGCTACCTCAACTCATTGCACACTTGGTGTCTGACAGATCACGACTGTCATAAAACGTAGTGGCTAGTTAGTCTTCATGGATGTTCTGTGGGCGTTTGCTGTGGGTACTGCAAAAGTACTCCAGCTGACAAGGCCAAGTGGATTCTGTTTCTATTAGCTGTAAGTCCCAGCTATGAAAATACATACTTTGTCATAAAGGAGACTGCACTGTTGAGACTTGGGGGGGGAGTGGGGGCAGAAATACTTTTACTTAAAGTCTTGGTGTATTTGATGTCAAATATCTGAGACATCAAATGGAACACCTAATGCTTTTTTCCACACAGCTGCTGCTTGAAATTGAAGCGTATTTTACATTTGAGATGTTGCAAGAGGTGTTTGATCTTCTGATAGGAAAGAAGTGAGCAAGACCTGTTGGGAAAGCAAAATGAGCTTCTCACATATCCCAGTTCTAGTACTAAAGGGTGGCTTCGGATACCTGAGCCCTGAGGAAAGATCCGTCTCTCTGATGAAATTATGGCTATATGCAGCCAGCTACATAGAAAACAGACACCAGGGGCAAAACAAAGCTTAACCTTTTATTTTATTATTTTTTTTTTTCCTTTTGAAACCTCCCAACTCTTTCTGCATTGCTTTTTTTGAGATCTTGCTTGGCTTGTTCTATTTGTGTTCTGGTCTGGAGCTTTCATGAGAAAACCAAATCTGACGTTTCTCAACAAAAGTATAAGCAGCTGGGGATGTGTTATATTTATCCGTTGTTTGTAATGGCACCTCTCATTCTGAGTAACGTAAAATAAATGATGTGTCTTAGAAGAGCTGCACAGCTGGTGAAAGGACTGGCTTTTAGGCTTGCTGTGTTTCAGAGAGGAATATGGGAGAAAAACAAAAATATCCCTAACTGATGTTGGTGCCTGCTCCTGTTGTTTCTGGGCTGTGAGCAAGAGTGAGAGTTTTGCAGAACTGAGCCTTTAGCTTCTGTGGGAGGGAAGGGGTGAGAGAGGGCTAAGAACCTTTCAGATTGAGCAGTTTCCCCTCTAATGAGGTAAAGGAAAGGCACTCAAGAGGCACTCCATCCTCAGTACAGTTCAAGGTGGGACATTACAGACTTTAGAAGACAAGAAGAGGACTTGAAGAAAAGATGTCTAGTGCTTGACAGGCCACTGAGAGTTTCAGAAGATGAGATAAACAATGATCTTAAAATCCTGAAGACAAAGACAAATCAAGACATAAGAGCTGGAAAAGCAATCTCACTTCCCCAGTTTCCGTTAAATTCTGTATTGGCTACAGTATACTCTCATCCCTGTGTCCCAGTGTTTCCTAGTTAAGTAAATGAAACAAAATCTGAGTTTTGTTCTCAGCAATTTACTTTTTCACCTTCTTGACAGGCCATGTGGACCCAGGAGAGGATGATCTGCAGACAGCCTTCCGGGAAACACAGGAGGAGGCTGGTCTTCAGGCCAGTCAGCTCACCCTTATAGAGGGGTACAAGAAGGAACTACACTATCCTGCCCATGGCAAACCGAAGACTGTCGTTTACTGGCTGGCAGAAGTGAAGGACTGTAACACAGAAATCAAGCTCTCTGAGGAGCACCAAGCTTTCCAGTGGCTGAAGCTGGAGGATGCTTGCAAGTTTGCAGAATATGAGGACATGCAAGCAACTCTGAAAGAAGCACATGAGTTTCTCTGCTCAAAAAAATAAATGCATTTGTGAAGGATAAGGGGAATTTATGAAGAAACATGGCCTGCCCTTTTTGTTTGTTTGTTTGTTTTTCTTTTTGCTTTAGTTTTTCAACCAGGGAAGAACTACATGGCTGCAGAAATTCAGATTCTTTAAATTGTACAAATCCAGTGAAGATGCTTGAAGCTTTTGAAGAGCTTGTGCTTTTGTCTCCCTTAGCTTATGCAAAAAAGCATGATTGAATCATGAGCCAGAGGTGTCTGAATTGAAACCCAGAGCTAACAAGGACTTCCTCTGTTCCAGTCTCATTTTTTGCTTTTTTTTTCTCCTCCTTGAAGTGCCAAGCAACCAAAGGTCTTTTGCAAAATCAAACCCCTGATATTCTTGGCTTACTGAAGTAAAATTGCAGAGTTGATAAAATGAGCATGTGGAGATTTTTAATAGCAAAATACTGCAGAAGGTGCACCTTGCATTTCAAATAGAGAAGCAATAGTTCTGTTCCCACCTCCTCCACCATTATGCTGTGATAACTTACCAAAATAATTTCAAGTCTTGTTTGTTTGTATCATGAATTTATGTACATCAATAATGTACTGTTATGAAAACATTCTCCATCTGAAGAGTCTTAGTAAACACTTGATCTACAGTATTTAAATTGTAAAGTTGAAGTTCTTCTTTTGCTCTTTCTTTTCCTTTTTGCTCTTAAACAGACACCCTACCCATGCGTTATTCAGGGGGTTGGGAAAGGGAAATGTATCTGCCTAATACAGCATTTTCTGCACAGAACAGCTAAGCTAATGTGCAGTGTTGAGTCCGTTTGCTAGCATCTGTGTTTCTGTGGTTGCAGCCAGCACCCATGTGCAGTGACAGTGCTAAGCTCTTGGGTACTTGCACTGGATGATTGCAGAAACCCATGATAGTACCAAGGAGCTCACCTGCGTGAGATTTCCTGTGGGCCTCTCTCTTATCAGCTGGCATTGGTGGGAGCTGAAGTTGTTAGCTCTCAGTATGATTGTGCGTGTTCCATTCATAATGATAGTTCATAATCTATTGGCTGTTTTGGTGCAAAATACCAAAAAAGCATGATGGCATTATTAATATTTTGAGATGAGGAATGGGGTTTTCTGAATCCCAATGGACTTTGGGGAAGGACAAGTGTCCTGTCTTTCCTACTTCTCTAGCCTTTGCTACCTACACACATGGACCTTGCAGAGCAAATGAGTGCATGAGAAAGTGGGTTCCACTCACACTTCGCCTTCCTCCTGACTCTAGGAGTGAAGTAAGTGCCATCAGCATCCCATTAGTGCAGGAGGAGGCTGCAGTACCAGAGATGCAGCATTACTGGGCTGAGAAATATGGGTGGCAGTTCAGTGTTGTGTTACTCTCCAATTACATAGCGCTCATCCTTTGGTGCAGCATATATTAATAATGTTAGTACTACCGTGACAGTGGTGTCTTGCTCATCACTGTTATCTTCCTGAAGAGTGATTTGTAAAAGCTCCCTTCTAGAGCATCCTTTTTTGTGTCTGTATGTGCGTGAATATATACATACGTACACAAAAAAAGATGCACTAGAAGGAGGCTTTTAGTATCTATGTATCACAGAATCATAGAATAGTTAGGGTTGGAAAGGAGCTTAAGATCATCAAGTTCCAACCCCCCTGCCATGGGCAGGGACACCTCACACTAAACCATATTACCCAAGGCCTCGACCAACCTGGTCTCGAAAACTGACAGGGATGGAGCATTCACAACCTCCCTGGGCAACCTATTCCAGTGCCTCACCACCCTAACAGGAAATAATTTCCAATCTAAACTCCCCCTGTTTAAGTTTTAACCCGTTACCCCTTGTCGTATCACTACAGTCCCTAATGAAGAGTCCCTCCCCAGCATCCCTATAGGCCCCCTTCAGATACTGGAAGGCTGCTATGAGGTCTCCACGCAGCCTTCTCCAGGCTGAACAGTCCCATCTTTCTCAGCATATCTTCATACAGGAGGTGCTCCAGTCCCCTGATCATTCTCTGGCCCTCCTCTGGACTTGTTCCAACAGCTCCATGTCCTTTTTATGTTGAGGACACCAGAACTGCACACAATACTCCAAGTGAGGTCTCACGAGAGCAGAATAAAGGGGCAGGATCATCTCCTTCGACCTGCTGGTCACACTCCTTTTGATGCAGCCCAGGATATGGTTGGCTTTCTGGGCTGCAAGCGCACACTGAAGCAATTTTAGTGTTCCACAATTTTGTAGTCAGATTATATTTGGATTATGAGCACTGTTTATTGCGTTCAGGTGATGCTAGAGAGTGAGCAGCACACAGGTTGTGCAATTGCTTTTAGTGTTTCTCAGCTAGCTTTAGAAGCAGAGGATGGAAGGTGTCTCCCACTGTCACCAGGTTCAGCCACGAGGCAGAATTGGCTATTTTGGAGTCTTTCCTGATGGATGTTTGGCTAACATGATTTTTAAGACCTGAAAAAGGCTCACACCCTCAGCTTGTCTGTCCATACCTTGGAAAATTTGGTCTCTAGTGTAAACCAGTGAGAACTAACTGAAAGATAACAACCAGTAAAAGAGAGGGGGAGAAAACAGTTACAAGCTTGTGCTGCTTCACAATCTTATTTTTTAATTATTGTTTGAGCTACCATTTCATCAGTGCTATGTAAACAATGGTGTTAACTGCTTTCATGTTTATGATCAAAATTAGCATATTAAGCATGAATTATAGACAATCATTAACAAGTAATCTCTTCTGTCCATTTGGCAGTAATGAACATAAACACTTGTTGCTTTGAAGAGCACGTTAGCTGAACTCTGAGGAAGTATTTCCATTTAACGGCACTGCATACATTGGAGTTCTCAAAGGACATGAGAGTTTCAGAACAACGAATGCTGTGCACTGTAAGGTGATGTGCTCTCTGGACAAAATTTCAAAGGCTGGCATTTCAGTTGTGGTAGGAAAAGGTACAAGGAATGTAACTGCCATAATTGGTGAGGCACTGCTTGTGCATTTTGAGAGGTTTATGTACGGAATGTATTCACATACATTTTGTGTGTAAAATCATGCTTACACAGTTGGAAACTTGACCCAAAAGGCCTTGTATTTGTTTTAAAGTGGAAACATTGGAAGGTCGGAATTTAATTCTTACTCTTGTTTGTGTTCACTGGTGGAAAAAAAAAGAGTTCTCCTCTGCCCATGTCTAGTAATAAAATGTTTTCCCAAGGATCATGTGGGAAAACCTCCAGTAAATGATTGTGGAATAATATGCCAGGGGAAGACATTTATTTCCAACCTCTGTGATTTTTATCCCCTAAACCAATAAGGTTTGTATTGTCTTTCTTGAGACCAGCTAGGTTTTTTGGTCATAATAGTATCTCATAGCAGTTAACTTTTTACCAGGCTGCAGATCTATATTTAGAAAACAGTAAAAATACTCAGAGATTTTAAATTCCTTAGAGACCTTACTTCTGCCTTAGGGTAAATAGAACCATACTCCAGAGAAGTCCAAGCTCCACTGAAATAGTACAACTTAATATAGGTAAAGTGAGAAGTGTTGGTTAAGTCTGAGTAAGAAACAGGTTAGGATATGGTTTCCCTTGCTTTGTTGAATAAATACACTGATGCAACTCATGCTTGTAATTTCCTGGTGTTAGTATTTCTTTTTCCACATAATTCATGATTACAGCTGTGATTACAGTTTACAAAGTCACAAGATCAATGAGAAGGAAAGCATGAATTCATTAGTATTAGGAAAGCACTAAGACATTGCAAGTTTTACTGAGGGAAGATCAGGATTGAGTGTGATGGTCACAGGTATGCTCAAACAAGAAGTGTAAAGGCTGGAAACAGTGCTTTACTCCTTTCTAGAATAAAACTGTTACTGCTGTTGGTGGGAGCAATGTATCTTGTTCATTGACTATTCCATATGACTACGGGATGTCAGAGACTGCAGCTGGTATAAAATGGATGGGTAATATATCCCCGACAAGCACCACTGGTGCTACTTGTCATTCCACGTAAAGAAAGAAGATGTGTCCTATAATAAGGTCTAATATGTCTTAAATATGGAAATATTTCAAGAGATACGTACTCTCTCAGCAGGACTCTTGCAGTGATGCAGAGAGGACGATGGAGTGCTGCCTATAAAGCTGGAAAAATTACTTGCTGTTACTTAATTGACAACTTAGTGAGGATAGTATTTTGGCAGATATCTGGAAGAGATTCTATCTTCTGAGTCCTGAAGACAGTGCTTATTAGTTATGTTCTCACACTGACAGAGTAACTGACAGCCTTCTGTGCCTCTTGGCAGCTAGTTTTAGCTTAAAAAGGATTTATGGATCATCAGGACTTCTGTTTTTCAGTTTACACTTTCTTTCCAAAGATTTGGTTTCTCATATGCTCAGTAACTCTTAATTTAGGGTCAAAGGAGAGTTGCAGCTGGCAAGAGTTTTGGCTTCATTGAGCTAAATCTGGTTTTTGTTATGGGTTAGAAAAGCTCTGGAAGAGCTAAGCAGCGTGTGTCTACATGAACCAAATAATCTGCTCTGCTTGCTTCAACCTCATGCTGTGCAAGGAGATTGTTCTCAAGTGTTAAAAAAATCCCCAAACAGTGTTTACAACTCCCTGTCAAAACAGCAAGGCTAGGGAGGAGATTGGCAGTGGTGGCACTCTTCCTGGTGGGAAGGGTGACACAGCATGGAACAACAGCTCTGTTGGTTTGGAGCTAGTCCATTTGATAATTGGCGTTATCAAAAAGAGGAGTGACAGTCCCATCTTTCCACTCAATGAGGATCTCTCCACGCCTCAGGGAAGGGGAGCGAGATGGTGGATGGTACGTCCGGGGACCTCTTTGTAAGGGGGATGGCTCCCGTAAGTCAGCTCTGCTGCTGTTGGCTGCGGAGCTCTTCAGAGCAGAGAGGATTTTCTTCTTCCTATGAGGAGAGAGAAGAGGGTACGTAATTGCATCTGCCTGACGCTTGGTTGCTTCTCCATGTCCACTGGTTCAGCAGCCACAGCACCCACATTGTCTAAACTGCCCTTCAGG